ACTTTGCTGCTGAAATTTCTTAAAACCAAACAAAAAAGGTGAACACCGGGACCCAGCTGCTGCCCGGGCATCACGAGTGCCAAAGGAAAACGTTTCATCTAAACCCAGAGATACAGAAGAACGACATGCAGTAGTATAAATTTCAAGGACGTCTTACAAATACTCTGAAATTAATTGGGAGGGGGGTAAGAAACTTGCTACAGACACCATAATACACAATAAATTTAGATAATTTAAAAATAAAAAAGGCAAGAGGCAGCATTTCAGCAGCAAAGTGCTCAATAAAAAGTATATTGTCAAGGGACGGGACGGGACGGGGAGCAGCAGGCGGGAACGGGCTCAGAGGAAATACGGCGTGGTTGTCCTCGGGGGAATGACGCGTTCAGAGTCTGGGACAGCGCGGAAGAGCTTTGGTTCTCTCGTATTTACATCTTTAAAGACCATGATTGACGCAATGTTTCCGCAGCGGTAGCAGTAATTCGGGGCGGACCACACCGTTACCAGCTTCTCATCAAACATGAATTTATAGCCTTCGTGGACGAGCTGGTGCGCTCGGCAGATGAGCTTTAAGTTGTTGATGTGAACAAACTGGAAAGGAAAAAAGGAAAGTCAGTTCTCTCCGAGCGGCCGCGCACCTCTGCCCACAGCCCAGCCTCTGGGCCCACCACGAAGGGGTCATCGAGATGCTGCTTCACGCAGTGCACTGAAAAAAACCTATTCTGACAAAAACTATTTGGGTTTTGAGGGCTGAGCAGCGGGAGACGCCTGTGACACACAGGTGACAGCCCTGGTGCCCGACGCTGCGCCGCCCACAAGGCTCAATCCCGAAGAGACCTCGGCGCGGCGCGACCGCGGTGCTGGGCACGCAGTTCAGGGGCCTGGGAAGGTCAACGCAGGTTGGCTCTGCAAGGTCTGCTCGCTGGTTCCAAAAGTAACAAAAACCAAGGCAGAATTGTTAAGCAAAATGGCAGAGTGTTTTTTTCTCTCCTAACTCCTCAGAAAAGCACTCCACACAGCGCCCGGCAACCGCAGTTGGCCTCGGCGCACCACACACTGCCAGCGATCTCACACGGGAAGTTCACCGCCCTGCAGTGCCCTCCGAGCCGAACGCTGCCCTTCACCTCGCTCCCGCAGCGACTTCGCGTGGCATGCGACAGCGCCATTACCTCGTTCGTCACCTTGGCACCAAAGAGCCAGCCCGCTCCCCGCGGACTGATGGCCCACGTGTCGACGTCTTCCGGGTCAGACCACACCAGGTCGCAGAAGGCGCCTTTGTGAGGGATTTCCTGATTACGTTCAATGGTTCGAATCTGGTCGAGTGTCTTGATATCTGGAGAGAGGCCACCGTGCACGCAGAGAATCTGCTCATCTATTAACTGGGGAAAAGAGACACGTGCACGAAACGCTCAGTGCTTGAATCGAGCCCAGGATGCCCCAGTGTGGCCCTCGCAGGTCACTGGCCCTGGCAGTCGCCCGCAGGTTCGTGACGTTCACACTTACAGCCGCTATTGTGAGCATGTCGAACACTTTGGTGCAGTATCTCCAAGCGTTAGCGTTTCCGTATTTGGTCTGGCACTCATCTGTGCAACAGAAAATTCTTTTCTGAACGGACCAGAAGGCACCCAAAGAGTAAGATCAGAGGCAAACACGGCACCACTCGAGAGTCAGGCGCACAATGAACCCCTTGGGAGCCCCACGGAGCAAGGACCGAGGCGCTGCTGCTCTTGGCTCTCTGAGCCCCAAAGCAGCGGTGCAGAGAGCGAGGTCTTGCGCAGGAGTTTTTTTACTCTCCATCTTTGTAATTGCCAGTGGCGCTTTCCTAGATGCTCACTGCTGACAACAAACAACTTCCACAGCAAGCTGTGCGCGCGACACTGCTTCTGGTTACACTGAAACTTAAGGGAAACTGCAGTACATCGTGGGCTTAGTGTAGAAACCCTCACTGCAAGATACCAACCCCTGTTCTGTTTAATTATACGCTCTCAAATTGAATGTGGCACCAAAACCAAGAAAACCCAGGCGTTGGGGGAAAGGAGCAGGGAGACCCGGACTGAAACACCCGGACGCAGTTGTTCCATGAACACAGTGTGACGTTCAGGTCCCAGCTCCCAGCAGCCCCGGCAGCGCTGGCTCCCCAGGGAAGGGCACCGCACACGCGCGTTGCGTTTTGCGTTGGCTCCCAGTCAGCAGCCGCGCAGACAAAGCCTTACCGTAAAACCCGTACACCTGGGTGATCTGCCGGCTTTCGTGGTTGCCTCGCAGCAGCGTGATGCGGTCAGGCCACTTAGCTTTGAGCGCAAGGAGGTAAGTGAAAGTCTCGAGGCTGTAATAACCTCTGTCTACAAAGTCACCCTGCAAACCAAAAAAATATCCGCGGAGAAAAACGGTCAAAGGGAAAACGCAAAGCCACACATCCGTGCTGAACTCCTCCCCGTGCACAGGTCACCGAACACTGGAGGGAAGCCGGGGTCTGCTGGGATCTGCAGGAACGCGCTCTTTGGCCGCGCAGTTTCAGCTCTGAGCCGATG